AAAAAAAAAAAAAAGAAAAGAAAAAGGAAAAGTGGGCATGAAAGGACTTTATTTAAGGAATCAACAAATAAAAGTAAACATAGGTCAAGAAAGACATTTTCCAAATCAAATCAATATAAGCTAAAATACGAGAAGAAACAAGCCACAGGAAGCAAAAGCAGGAATTTTAAGGAACATTTTCTGCCATTAGGTGGTGCCCAAGCCAAAGTTTATTATCTGGTGTGCTTAATTAAGCTGCTCTAGGAGAATATTGTCATTGTTCGCTCATTAAGTTCACAGGTGCTGTGTGTGATTAACACCTCACAGAGCAGGGGAGTTTTAGTTGGTCCTTGGTGTCTTGTGGCTTACTGTGACTAGAACCTTGTATAAATATCTAAGTATGTGGCACACAACCCAACCAGGAAATGACTTCATTCAGATGCATATTCTGGTGAAGGAGCAATTGCTTTGATCAGATACATGGTCTATGCTTTAATACAATTAGTATGTTACAATGTAAATGTGACTAAATCTGATTCAGAGAGCTTTGGGATCTAGTACACACACACACACCCCCCCCCCCCCCCCCCCCGCCCTTCGTGGCAAGACCCCCGCAGGACCTTGTTAGGAAAGTCAGTGATTGGACTAGTAGCTGTAGTACCTATTCAGTTTAAAAGTCAAAGAATAAGTAAACAAATATAACAAACTGAAACATGTTCTTCATGGAGTTGTTACTGAGGTGAGGAAGTGGGTCTGTAGGGATAGAGACTAGGGGAAAAAATACACAAAGAAAAATTTTTAAGCAAATTATTTGGCTTATATTTGAGAGAAGACACTTTAAAACAATTGCTATAAAAACACAATTTTTAGTGAGAGTGGTGGTGACTTGTGCAGTGGTGATGCATGGTATCATGACCTAAAATAAGGCAGCTGAGCTGAGGCCTGACTGTAAGAGCCATCATTCAGAATACTAGGAAGGGCAGTACTGTGGGCAGAGCTAAGAGCCAGTATCAAACCTTAAGGCAGGATCAGGCGAGGCAGATTCAGAGAACAAAAGTGGCCTGGTAGGGGCATGAGGTTGGAACAGGAGGCAGAGCCCGTGGGAAAGGTGGGGTTTTACAGATCACAGTACATCCGCTATGTTCTGAGTGAAATGGGAGGAACCAGCGGAGGACTTTAGGTATAGGAATAACATTCTACTTTTAAAAACAGCTTTATAGAGGATTACACATCACAAAATCCACCCATTTGATGTGCACAATGATTTTTTTCTACCCTTATTTAAATTTAGCTCATAATTTTTTTTTAAAAAAAGTTATCATTTGGGACCAGCAGTTAGCGTAATGACTATGTCACTGAACTCCCACGTAGCCAACCGCAGTTCGAGTCCCGGACCCAGTGGCTTAAACTCACACTGGGCGTGTGTGCCCAAGATCCCGATAGGAAAATGGAGGATAGGGATTACCATGTAGCCATCCCCCCTGGGGGGGTGATTTCTTGTTTTCTGTCTCTCTCTCTTTCTGGCCAGTGCATGCGCCCTATAGCAAAAACCTCAACAACAACAAAAAAATCGTTTTGATTATATAAGGTGTCCTCAAATGTTTCTCTAAGAGTTGCACAACCATGACCATGGTCTCATTTCCGAACTTGGTTATTTTTATAAAGACCACCCTGGCTCTTGTGTGGAGAATGGATGGTAGGTAGGTAAAATTATTGTAGAAAGGCCAAGACCCGCTGGGAGACTACTGATAAAATACTGATGAGAGGTTTTCAAATGGCCAGAGGAAAGTTGCCTCAGCCCTGACTACCGATTGAATCCCTGGGATGTGCCAGGCACCATGTGAGGAGCGGTCTTCAGTGCTGAGTAAGACACCACGACCTCTGCACGGTAGGAGAACGCGGCTGTGCGACTGCGTGACAAACGGCCCTCCCAGCTTCGCCACTCGTAAGAGATTCAATGTAAAGAATAGAGAAAATATATCAAAGTCCACATGCAAAGAGCCTTTTTCCTCCCATCTATGCCCACAGTGAAAAAGCCCTTTGAGATTCCAGCCAATCCGCCTGCCCAGGTGAAAGTGTCCAGCATGGCCAGGCATAGCCCGAGACAGCACGGAGCAGAGCAGAGGTCTGAGCTGGGAACACGGAGCAAAAGCCCCCGTCCACTTCTCGCGAGTGTTGCAGTGAGAACGCCTCCTTTAGCTATTTCGTACATGAGCAGCTAAGACAGAAAGAGTCACACTCAGTTTTTCACTTTTGCGTTCTCTCTCGTTTTACAGCCAGTTCTTCTCCAGTTTCCAGAGGGTACTCTGATGGGGGCACCAAGTCTGTGACTGAATTCTGTGGCCAGATGTTTCTTACAACTCCCAGCTCCCTGAAGCCTTCCA